GGAGCAAAGGGCAGTGGCAGCTTGTCCTGGGCTAACCCACTAAACCTGTCTCCAAGGCCCTTTCCTCTGACTTCCAGTGAGCCAAGCAGCCCCACCTAGGCTCTCACCAGTTGCTTCTTCTATCCTAAATCCGTCACTGTCCCCAGGTTTAATAAACATACACTAAAACAAACAAACAAAACAAAACAAAACAAAAACCTGCCATTTTTCCGGAGCATTTTCTCAATCCATTGAGATTTTGCTTCCTGGCAAGTGTCCTCAGTTTGGCTCAAATAAACTCATAAAATTCTTACAGGTCTAGGTGTTTCTTGTGTCAACATAACCCTTTACTGTTTCTGTGGAGCCCTCCAGGGTACATGGACCCAGGCCTGCCTCTGGAACATCTCTTACGATATAACTAACACCATTAAAAATTTCCAGAAAACTCAAGAAGCCTTAAGTAAACAACTGAAATGAACACCTCAAAAAAACCAAAACAAACAAACAAAAGAAACAGAATCAGCATGTGCTAAAGACTACCTAAAAAGTTATAAAACACAATTCAGGAGAACCTTGTTCCAATTACAATCCCATTCATGAACACTCGGTAACTTGGGAGAAAAAAAAAAAGGATGTTCTTATAAAGCTATCATGTAAAGCTCTGACATCTACACACAAACATCTCTTTCAAGTTAGCATTACACAAAATTTAAAAGTACTCCTACTTGGTGTTGAATGATATAACTAATCTCGACTCTTGAAATGTTTTCAACTTATAAAGTTTAGAAAGATTGGATTTATTTACATTGAACTTTGCATTTTGTGACATGATAAAAAGTCGTAAGTATGTAGATTTATAGTAAGCAGAAATATAATCTCCCCGCCTCCCCAACTTGCCTTTTCTCTATAGGCTAAACTCTATTTACAGATATTCCAACTCTCCATACTATACTATACAGAGACAAATTCAGAAATGCATGTTAACTTAGATGAAGGAATGACTGTGTCTATTTATTTAATATTAAATAGTAATAGTAATAAATAATACTGACAGTACTGTAAAGTCTATCATCTATTATAAACAGAAAATTCATAGGTGCATTTTATTAGGAGTTATCATTTATTATGTTTTTAAATGTGCAATAAAATAGAACTCATTGTTTATTCTGTGTACTGGAAAAACTCAATTTTCTATATATACATTTAATTTCCTAGTATGTACAATCAAAGAAATGAAATAGAATAGTTGTTAATAAAAACAATATCACATAATCAGAATTTGCCTGAAATTAATAACTCTTTAGAACTTAACTAGAGGCCCGGTGCACGAAATTCGTGCATGGGGTGGGGGTTGTCCGTTAGCCCAGCCTGCACCCTCTCCAATCTGGGACCCCTCTTACAATCCAGGACTGCTGGCTCCCAACTGCTTGCCTGCCTGCCTGCCTGATTGCCCCTAACTGCTTCTGCCTGCCAGACTGATCACCCCCTAACCACTCCCCTGCCAGCCTGATCGACGCTTAACTGCTCCCCTGCCAGCCTGGTCACCCCCAACTGCCCTCCCTGCAGGCCTGGTTTCCCCTAACTGTCCTCCCCTGGTGGCCTGGTCACCCCTAACTTCCCTCCCTTGCCAGCCCAGTCACCCCTAACTGCCCTCCCCTGCCAGCCTGGTCACCCCCAACTGCCCTCCCTGCAGGCCTGGTTGCCCCTAACTGCCCTCCCCTGCAGGCCTGGTCACCCCTAACTGCCCTCCCTGCTGCCTGGTTGCCCCTAACTGCCCTCCCCTACAGGCCTGGTTCCCCCCAACTGCCCTTCTCTACAGGCCTGTTTGCCCCCAACTGCCCTCCCCTGCCTGCCTGATTGCCCACAACTGCCCTCCCCTGCTGGCCATCTTGTGGTGGCCATCTTTGACCATATGGGGGTGGCCATCTTGTGTGTTGGAGTGATGGTCAATTTGCATATTACCTCTTTATTATATAGGATTGTGGTAAACAAGACATTCTCATTATACTTTGTATATGTTACATTGCAATAAAATGGTTAAAAGATGCAATTACCCATGATTTGCAAAAATCTGTCAATAAGTATATCTTAACTATTTTTTAACTAAAAAGAAGATAATTCAAGTGTTGTAAAGGTGTCAGAAATTTACATTTAGTCACAAAGTTCATAAAATATGAGTACAGTGGGGCCTTGACTTACGAGTGTCCCAACTAACGAGTTTTTCGAGATACAAGCTGTCTCTCAGCCGATTTTTTGCTTTGAGTTGTGAGCTAAAATTCGTGTTACGAGCCAGCTTCAGATACCCCACCGCTAGTTGGCACAGTGAACGTCACAGTGAATGCCACAACATCAGCCCAGCATCACGTGTCTCACTTGTTCACTGTTGATTTGACATACGAGTAATTTGAGTTATGAGCTCCGTCACAGAATGAATTAAACTCGTAAGTCAAGGCCCCACTGTACATTAAGAGGCACAGGTGAAAAAAAATTTTAAGACTTAGGTAAAACAATGTATGAAAATAATAGCTTTTCTTGCTAAATCAATGAGTACTCACCCCTTGGAGCCCTTGGAACTGAATTGAAGGTCGAAAAGGAATTAAGTTCTGTTAAAAGAAACATAAGAAACAAACAGGTCAAACTTGATTACTGTGACACAGAATTAATAGTTTAAACTTTAAATCTGTGCATTTGGTCAGTGGTATAGTCTGTGAAAATACCTTTTTATCATGTACTTAGGTTTACACGTCATTTTATTAAGATGCCTTGATGAACAGTAGCACACTATTGACATTTCTCTGAATAACACAACCAAAGGTATCTTTTGGCAGTATAGCTGATCAGGTTTTTTTAAATGACTGATGGTAAAAATATGATTAGTATACAAATTCAATTTTACTAGTACATTGAAAAATCATACTCTGGCTTAGTTTCTTCATACTTTTTAAAATATATTTTTATTGATTTCAGAGAGGAAGGGAGAGGGAGAGAGAGATAGAAATATCAACGATGAGAATCATTGATTGGCTGCCTCCTGCATGCCCCCTACTGGGGATCAAGCCTGCAACCCCAGGCATGTGCCCATGACCAGAATAGAACCCGAAACATTTCAGTCTGCAGGCCAACGCTCTATCCACTGAGCCAAACTGGCTAGGGCTCTTCATATGTTTTTAAAAGTGGTGGAGATAGGAAAGATATTTGGAGGAACTTTGCAAAACCCTAATAGGACATTAGAAATATAAAATTTAAAAAAATACTTAAAAATTAAAAGAAATATAAAATTAAAGTATTTGAGATTGAATGATTGTTTCTATTTTCTCACAGTTTACCAGAGATTAGTTTTTAATTAAGGGTCAAACAGGTTACCAATTTTCTCACAAGATGCTCACTAGGAGAATATTATAATTCTACAACAATATTTTGTTTTGTAATGAATTCTCATAGCTTTAATATTTTAAGAAAAGCTGTAATTATAAATATCTACCATAGTCTCAGGCATGATATCCTATATCTACAGTCACCAGAATGGTTTTCTATGGGAATGCTTTTCTAAATTGTTAACAGAAATTCACAAGGAAATCAGGTATGAGTAACATTTAATAATAACATAACAACCTGTAAACTATTCCTCATATCCTTATATCCAAATACAATACAGTGGGGCCTTGACTTATGAGCGTCCCGACTAACGAGTTTTTCGAGATACGAGCCGTCTCTTGGCCGATTTTTTGCTTTGAGTTGCGAGCTAAAATTCGTGTTACGAGCCAGCTTCAGATACCCCACCGCTAGTTGGAGCAGCGAACATCACAGTGAACGCCACAACATCAGCCCAGCATCACGTGTCTCACTCGTTCATTTTTTGATTTGACATACGAGTAATTTGAGTTACGAGCTCCATCACGGAACGAATTAAACTCGAAAGTCAAGGCCCCACTGTACACAAAAACAGAAACAGTGGTTTCTGGTTTCATATTGATCTCCAATAAAAATAGAGGCAGGCACCCATGTCCCCCTCCCTTCAGCCACTGCACATTACCTGCAGATTTAAAAGTTTATTAATCAGTATTACAATAAACTAAAGAGTTAGATGAAAGGATGAGTACTTCTTAAAAGATAGATTATCTAAATATAAAAGCACATGGTAGCATTAACCATTTTATTATTATTTTATACTAGAGGCCCGGTGCACAAAATTTGTGCATGGGGAGGGTCCCTAGGCCTGGCCGGCGATCAAGCCTGATCTGTGGGGCAACCGGCAGGGCAATCAGGGTCCCCACTCATACCCGCCTTGGCCTGGTGCTGTCCGCTTGCCAGCCCCGCCCCCCATCACTGTTGCCGATCGCTGTCTGTGGGGTGACCAGTGGGCCGATTAGGGCCCCCACTTGCACCCGCCTTGGCCTGGCGCCGCCCGCTCACCTGCTCCACCATCCCGCTGCGGTCCCACTCTTATCCGGGCCCATTGGGGCCAGCATTGCCTCCACTGCCACCTGCTGCCAGCGCCGCATTGCCGACGCCTGCCATGTTCCATGCTGCCACCTGGTGGTTAGCGCACGTCTAACTCCTGGTCAGTCGAACTCCCGCCCATGGGAACAATTTGCATATTAGCCTTTTATTATATAGGATAAATGGATAAACATCTTGGAAAAAACATTATAATAGATACTATTATCATTGTTTTACTACCTTAAAATGATCACTAAACTTTAGACTTATCAGCAGGCTCAAAGTAATACTTGTAACAAATTCATTTTTTAGTGTGTGAGAAGTGGGTTGTTGTCTTTTTTTTTTTAAAGGGAAGATAAAAAGATAATGATTGAAATTGTAAAATAATTTTTAATAGTGATTCATTCTAAGTCATCGTCTTTTATGAATATACAAATTATAGATTAATGCTAGAATTTCCTTAGAGAAAGAAAACCCTACCCAAACCTACCTTTCAGACCTAAACTTCTTTCTGAACTAATAGCAATGAGCCTGGAGAAGCCTAAAGAAGTCTTTCTTCTGTAGAAGTTGCCCTACAATTTGGGTAACACAGGTCTAAGCTCAAGTTTTCACAATATTTCCATCAGTCCTACCTCCTGGCTCTCCTTTCAAATCACAAACATTGAACATTTCTGAGGCTGGTTACATTTTCCTCCCTTACTCAATGACAGCAAAACTGGCAAACACTAAACCTCCCCACTTCAACCCCCCAAGTTGGCACCTCTTTCCTACTTTTTTATCAAGGGTACTTCTATCTTTTTAGTTCTCCAGGATCACAACCTTAAATCTATAGTCTTCTCTCTCTTCACCCCCACCATATTCTATCAGTCAATTGTAGGCCACTAGAATCACATAATTCTGAATCCAGGGATAATATAGTTAACTAGAGGCCCGGTGCACGAAATTCATGCGGGGGGGGGGGTGTCCCTCAACCCAGCCTGCACCCTCTCCCACCGGGATCGGGCCTAAACGGGCAGTCAGAAATTCCTTTCACAATCCAGGACTGCTGGTTCCCAACCACTCGCCTGCCTGCCTGCCTGATTGCCCCTAAAAGCTTCTGCCTGCCAGCTTGATCATCCCCTAACCACTCCCCTGCCAGCCTGATTGACCCCTAATTGCTCCCCTGGTGGCCCAATTGCCTCTAAAATGCCCTCCCCTGGACGGCTGGGGCACCCCCAAATGCCCTCCCCCTGGTGGGCTGGGGCACCCCCCAAAATGCCCCCCCCCTGGTGGGCTGGTCACCCCCAAATGGCCTCCCCCTGGCAGCCTGGTTGCCCCCAAAAGGGCCCCCCCTGCAGGGTCTGCCGGTCACTCCTAACTGCGCCTCCTGCGGGGCCGGGGACTCCCAATCTGCCCTCTCCCTGCTGGCCTGGTCACCCCCAACTGCTCTCCCATGCCAGCCTGGTCCCCCCCCAACTGCCCTCCCCTAAAAGCCTGGTCCCTCCCAACTGCCCTTCCCTGCAGGCCTGGTTGCCCCCAACTGCCCTCCTCTGCCAGCCCGGTCACCCCTAACTGCCCTCTCTTTCAGGCCTGGTCTCTCCCAACTGCCCTCCCCTGCTGGCCTGATCACCCACAACTGCTCTCCCCTGCCGGCCATCTTGTGTCCACATGGGGGTGGCCATCTTGTGTATTGGAGTGATGGTCAATTTGCATATTTCCTTTTTTATTCGATAGGATGCCCATCCCCCTTAGGCAATGTGTCCCATTACTAACTAAGCTGGGACCAGAACTCAGGACTCAATCCTCCTATTTTGTCATGCTGCTTTTTTCCTACTACCTGGTGTTCCACACACATCTGCTATGAGAGATTCAAGAGTGTGGGGGCCTATTCCTTCATGCCAGACAGTTCACATTTTAGTTAGGGAATATTAAAGAATGATTAAATACTAGGCTAAGTACTACCAGGAGGTGTAGTAAGGACTCTCAAAAAGGAAAGAAGATTATGGGTTATACGATATACTAGAAAAGCCAAAGATCTTGTGGAAAGGGTGGATCTTGGGTAGCAATTTAGAAAATACTAACTCCAGGGAGAAGTGCTCTGCCTGAACAGAAAAGCAAGGAGACAGGAATGAGTACTATGTGGGCAAAGGACAAATGTCTCTCTGTGTAGAGTTCTTTCATACTTGAAACACTACACAAAGGGTAAGAATTGGACCTGGAAATCCCTGTCTAATCTTTCCTTGGGCTGAAAATTTGTCTTCAGTTTTGCTTCTATCCACTACAGAATAAATAGGACAATCAGTAATTTAAATTTCAGACCTCTGGGATTTCAAAAGATTTATCACCCTGTGAAATAACCCCACCCTAATCCTTTCCATTATCCTCTCAGGCAGGGCCTTAGACCTGACAACTAATTGGAGACTCATCTAAGTTTTGGAACAAGAGAGGGAGTTGCTGAAAGAAGTGTTTCAGGGAAAGTAGTCCCTTCAGTCATGTGTAAGAAAGATGGAGATGGACGGATTGGGGCTAGGATAAAGGATTAGCTCCAGGGGATTCTTTATTTGGAGATACTCTGGTGAGAAAGGCCTAAGTTAGTATTACTTCATCTGGAACAAGCATTCCGATGGAAGAAAGATAAAATGTGCTAAAAGCTTGACTACCAGGCACCAAAGAAAAATGAAGTGAAGGTGGCTCCAGAGGTCCCAATCATCATCTCTGGCCAGTTAGCTCCAAACTTCCTCAAATTAAGCTTAGTCTCACCTTTGGAAGCCTCTGTCTGTTTCAAGCCCCTATCACCAAGTACCTAGATCAGGGGTGGCGAACCTTTTTTCTGTCAAGGGCCATTTGGATATTTATAATATCATTCGCAGGCCATGCAAAATTACCAACTTAAAAATTAGCCTGCTATATTTGGTCAAATATTTAATTAACTCACCCCTAATGCCTAGGTAGGACCAGACCAAATGATTTCAAGGAGCCGGACGTTTCCTACCCTTGATCTAGATCAGTGGTTCTCAACCTTCCTAATGCCGCGACCCTTTAATACAAGTTCCTCATGTTGTGGTGACCGACCCCCAACCATAAAATTATTTTCGTTGCTACTTCATAACTGTAATTTTGCTACTGTTATGAATCGTAATGTAAATATCTGATATGCTATATGTGTTTTCCAATGGTCACGACCCAC